TTCAAGTAATTTCAATGTGTATTCAAATACAAATTACATTTACTTTAAAAAAAAAATGAATAGACCCAGACAAAAAAGTCTTTGACATTTACCTATGAAAAATGTCCACATTTTCTTTGAGATCAAGTGTGCATTTTTGGTACTGTTCATGAAGAATAGCATAAACGTTTCATAAAAACTGTTCTAATCTAAGCATGTTTATATGGCAAGAGGCTTGTATTATCAAACTACATTTCCCACTATCCTCTACAGCAGCACAAGAATGATAAAATGCATAAATAATGCATACTTTACACACTTAATGCACATCGTTTGCTCTTCATTTGTTGCACCAAATCATAATTACGATTTCTGAAGCCATAAGTAGGCACTTGCCTGAAGGCAGCATTAGATACAGCTGGTGACACTTCATATGCTCTTCTGTCCCACATCTTCTCCCTCCCAGTCCTCCTTTATCTCTTTCTCAGCCAACAGCCCTATTATTCTTCATCTGTCATAAACATTCACTATAAATAGACTCTTTTTTTCTAATGTGTCACTTGCTCCTGGTCTCCTCTCAGAACAAACTACAGCTCTTACAGTGATGACTGAAGGAGGCTAAAAATAGCGCTTACAAATTTTTTTTTTGCCTTGGCCAATTTTGTCCTCACTTGATGAAATGGACTGTGGCAGCGATGGATCTATTTCAGAGGAAGCATCTGCAATTGTCATCCATTTCGTTTATTTGCCAGACAGCCCTCAGATGCGAACTCCACTCTATTCCTCTTTCACAGCTTGATATCCATTCCAGTGAAATGATAAAACAAAATCCCACTTTTCACACAAATTCGCAATTGTGGGTTCTATTTACTGGTTGTAAATAGGCCAATAGTACTGACCAATACCAATACCAATACACACATTTATCCACTGACCTACAAAATTCAGCAACTATCAATGGCTGTGAATGACACTGTCAAATTAGATATGTCACAAGTTTAGCTGGCTAATTAGATTTATTATTCCCTCTAAAATGTTTTAATGTTGTTTTATGTGAGACAAAAATAGCAATTTAAATTTGCTAGAGAAATGATTTTTGGACATTTCTAATTGTAATGTAGTCACTTTATTTTCATTTATTTGTACATGGTCTATTTAATATTCATAAGCTAGTCATGCATAAAAGTTAAACACTTTAACTGGGTAATAAGATTTACTGCTCTCTAATATAGTTTAATGTTATTTTATGTTAAAAATTGCAATTCAATATTCAAAAGAATTTATTTAAATAATTTTTTT